CGGGCCAGGTTGCCCGCAATGACAGACAAACAGCCAGAGGCGGTGCATGAATGTGTGATTTTGGGAGGGCGGACAGCATGATACGATAACACATGCTTTCTCCCTGTTGTCTCGACTCGCAAGCAAAGGAAGCAATCCGCCCTGGACGTTATGCAGTACAGTACAGTGCGTGCACCCCCCCTCTCCCTCCTTGCCCTCCCCAAGGGGCACCTCCTCCACAACGTCGGGCAGCAGGTCCCTCAGGCTGCCGCCCGCACTGCCGCTGCGACGGCCACCCATGCGGGCCAGAGGGGACTCGTCCTCCTGCGCGCGGGACCGTGGGGCGAGCGGTGACGGCGTTTATTTATGCGCACCCACGGCCAAACATCGAGGCCGGTGCACCACGCCCCAAGCAGCATTGGTCCCGGTACGCACGTTCTGAATCCCATGCAAACTCGACAAGTCCGCATGTCCCTGCGGGCTTCACCCTCAGCCACAGCGGCAGCCCGCCCACAAGCCCCGCCCCCGGCCCAACCACCTCAATCAGGAACCCCTCCAAGCCGCCCCCGCGCCGGCGCCCTCGCAGGTCGCTCCTCAGCACACTCTCTGGCCCCAACAGGCTCCCAGTCTCGCTGCCGCTGCGCTGCTCCCGCCCGGCGCGGCGCACGGCGGCCGCGTTGCCAACTGCGCCGCCGCCGCCGGCCCCCAGGCTGGAGCCGGGGGTGCGGGCGCGGAGCAGGGGGTTGGCGCTGTCGCCGCTGGCGCCGGGCGTCGGCGCGGCGGCGCGCAGGCGCTCGGTCTCGATGTCGCCTGCGGAGGCAGAGTGTTTGTGTTCATGGGGTGATGGGTGGGTGGGTGGGTGCGTGTATGCATGAAGGGGCCAGAGAGAGGGGCCGGGCTGTCTGCCAGGCAAGGCTTGAAACACTCATGTCTAGTGACGTGTCCCCTAATCCAGCGGCCCACACGGGCGGTGACTGCATGCACGCCCCGCCACGCACGTTTGCAGCACGCAATGCTAGAGGATGCTCCAAGGCTTGTCAAAGCCGCGGCATCAATGCCCCTGCGCCCACGCACCCCACCATCCCTCTGGCCAGCCCCTCGGGTCAGCCAGCCCCTCCCCTCACCCACCCCCAAAGGCCAGGTCCCCCAGTGTGTCATTGCGCTCCTCAAACATCGGGTCCAGTGGGAGCTCCTCCACTGCCAAGGCATCACCAGGTTTGGGGTGGGCAAAAGGGTGGTGCGGCGGACACATTGAAGGGGGTCGTGGGAAGTACAGGCCGATGTTGGCGCTGTTGTTGAGCAACCCAGGCGCATCGACCGCGCAGTGAAAGGCAACATATCCGCCCCTCATCAAGGCTGGCTGCCACTCAGGCTGTGAAAGCAAGGCGCGGGACGCCCCGTGTTTGGGCCTCCACACAGCAGGCGGCAACGATCCCCTTTGCAAGCAAAACAGCAACAACCAGCATTAGCTACGCCCACCACCCCCGCCTCCTTCTTACTGTCGTAGTGTGCGCCCTCCTCCTGCTCCAGCGGCAGATCCCCAAACCTCGCCCGCTTCGCCGCCCGCGCCGCGTCCTCGCGCCCACCGCCCGCGCCCCCCGCGCGCCGCTCCTGGGCCGCCGCCGCCGCGCCGCCGCCGCCGCCGCCGTCGCCACGGAACCGCAGCGCCTCTTCGAACCCCAGCGCGCCCGCGCCGGTCGCGCCCGCGTCGCCGCCCTCGCGGCGCGCGGGCGCGCCGGCCCGGTCGCCGGCGCAGAGGCGGAAGGCGGCGATGACGTCGTCGCCCCAGGCGAGGGGCCCCCCGGTGGCGAGGCCAATCAGGCCGGCGGCAAACGCGGAGGCCGGCAGCAGGCTGCTCCTGGGGTTTTTGGTGTAGGGGCGGCAGGAAGGGAGGCGGCCAGGCCGGCTGCTGTTGAATGGCTTGGCTGGCAACGTGTCGCTGAGGGCGTTGGAGGTGAGGCCGCGCTGCTCATGCAGGAGGCAAAAGTCTCGGCGGCGTGCGAGAGAGCGCGCTCCGCGTCGCGCGGCCCGGACCGCCCACCAGGCCTCGCGCCCCGCGGCGGCGTTGTTCTTGGCGGTGGGGCTGCCGTCGGCGCCGGGCGGCAGGCCGTCCGCGCCGCCGCCGCGGCGCAGCGGGCGCGTGATAGTGATGCGGGAGGAGTCTTTGATCCACTCGCGATAGGTAGAGTTGCTGTGGGAGCATGGACAAGACGGGGCGGGCGGTGAGGGCGGTGAGGGCAAATGGCGGAAGCAGGCGCACAACACTTGCTGTCACCATTATGTGGGTGTGCTGCTCATTTGGCATGTGGCTCAGCACAAGGCAAGAAGGTCTGAGCTTGCAACTAGGCAGCATGCACGCATTGCCAACCACTTCCTTGCCCTGCTGGTGATCCGGAGCCTCACATTTGAGGCAGCTATGCAGCTGCCTCTCCCCACACCCTCGCTCCCCCGCCCACCCCCCCCCCACCTGATCTGCAGATCTGTCGGAGGGTCCACCACCGGCGCATTGACGCGCCGCTTCACGCCGCGCTTCCTGGAGCCCGCCACCACGTGCGCCTTTTCGGCCGCGCCGGAGCCCGCGTCGCCGTTGGCGGCGCCATCAGCAAGGGCGGAGGGGTCGGCCTGGCAGCTGCCGGGCGGCTGCTGGTCCGCGCCGGCCTCGGGGTCGGCGTCAAAGGGCGGGGGCTCGTCCATCGGCGGCTCATCTGCAAGGTGGGTTTGAAAGGAGGGGCTCAGACTGTCAGTGGGCGCGCCAAGCACCGGGTGCGGGGTCAACCAGCGGCTAAATGCTGATGACATCATGGCTCATAAACAAGGATGCTGAGGGCTCACGACCCCCAGCTGCATGATCCCAATGCCAACACCATCCACACCGTCTGACAGCTCAGCCTCGGCCCCGCATCAGGCTCGCACGCACCCTCGGCAGCTGATGGGGGCGCCAGCATCTCCTGCAGGTCGGCGCCAAAGATGTCAAAGTCCGGGGCCACGTCGAACACCTCATTGGCGTGGTCCCTGCAATTGCAAGGGGTTTGAGTTTGAGTCAGGTCCAACAGGACCGAGTGTCTGCATGATTAAAGCATGGAGGAGAGCAGGTGAAACGCAAGGGGCCCAAGGGCTGGCTGCTGATGCATGTGGCTGGTGCACGTGGGGCTTGACCAGAGGCAGGGCCGCCATACACTGAGCTACACCCACATGGCCAGGAGCTGCTCCTCAGCGGCTTCAGCGCCGAATCCGAAGCCCTCCGCCTCGAACATGTCGACGCCCGCGCCTTCCTGCCCGACCCAGCGCGCCCCGCCGCGCCCGCCGCCAGCGAGCGCCGCTGCCAGCGTGCCGGCTGCGCCGCTGCTCGCGGCGTTGGCGGCTGCCCCACGGCCGCCGTGGCGGCCGCCGCGGCCGGCGGTCAAGGAGGGGTTGAGGGAAGTCGTTGAGGTGGGGTCCAGGGAGGGGGCAATGAACAGGTCTGATGCCAGCTGAAGTTGTTGTTGGGGTAGCAGGTTGGTGATGAGGAGTTGTGATCAGTGATGATTCTTGAACAGCCGGTTGGGCAGGCAACCAAAGCGGAACCCACGCACAGAATGTGATAGCAGGCAGCCTTGTGGTATGGCAAGGTCGCGGCGGCTGCTCGAGCACGACACATGCAGCGCTGACTGCATGCCCGCGCGTTCAATTACAACAGACAAACCCACGTCGTTTGCAAAGCTGCCGTCGCCCAGCAGGAGGCCGCCCGCAAGGGTGCCCTGCGTGCCGCCGAGGGCCATGTCCCAGTCCATCAGGGTGATGGCCTCAAGCCTTTGGGGGGAAAGGCGGTGAATCGGCGGGTTTGTGGTTGCTGATGGGTTGCTGAACAGCGACAATTTTGTTTTATAAAAGAAATCGAGGCATCGGGCTGGCTGATCGTATGTCAGAGGTGAAAAGATGCTGCCATGAATGAATCCCCTGCCCATGACAGCCCTCCACACGACAAGGGCTTGGGGCCCGAGGCAGTTGCGCGCCAGAACCACCATCACAGCATGCATGTCCAGCGAGTCGAGGCAGCAGCGGCGCCACCACGCGGCTCACTGCGCGGTGTCCTTGCCGTTGGCGAGGAGGGCCGCCCCGCGGCGGGCACCGCCGGCTGCCTTGGCGCCGCCGCTGTCGGGCGCATCCTCCTGGGCTAAGGCGACGGTCTCAACGCGCTTGCGCATGTCGAGCAAGTCACCTGTGGTTGAGGGGCGGGCGACCGCGCAGGGTGTGCGGGCAAGCATGTTCGTGACCCGCCAATCAGGCATGAGTGCAGATTCAGATGAGCATGCGCTTGTGTCATACCACTGCTCCACGCATCATGCATATGCATGCGTGCATGCGAGCCGACGCTTGGCTGCATGCGGGATGCATGCATGCCGGTGTCATGCGCGCAGCAGCAACCACTGGGACGATCGCCTCACGTAGAAGGTAGGCCTGCTTCTTCTCGTAGACACACACGATGCCGTCTTTGAATGCATGGTGGTGGTGGGCGCACATGCAGCTGCTGAGAAGGGAGGCGTGCAGGCGGCTGGGCTGGAGTGGGACCGACGACGCGCCCGCCCAACTCATCAATTCTCGCTCCAACATGAATGTGTCCATCACCTAGCGCTGGCCATCGCGCATGCAGGCATTATCCTGTATTTTATGCAGCAGCATTATGCAATTATCCCCCACCCTCCACGGTAAACAAAGCATGAGGTCCCTGCTGCCCAGCAGCGCTCACTGATGAGGATGCCTTGCAGCCGAAGTGCAAACGGGGTGGTTGGGTGCAGGACACACTTGCTGTGTTTGCGCGCATGGGAACAGGAGATGAAGCAGGGTTACAGGGGGGGTGCATTTGGTGCGCTAGGATATACACACGGGGAGACATGCACCCGGTTCAGGGGTGCTTGATTTCCATGCTGCACGAAACCTGTGCAGCCGATTGCGATGCGCCGCCGCTGGTGTCACGGCTGTCTCACCACAGCTCCCGAATGTCAGCGTTGAGGATCTTGTTCTTTGACATCTTCTTGCTGCCATGTGCGAGGGTCCTGAAGGGGCATGATGCCGTCCAGCGAAGGCATGGCGCAAGAGCGGTGGCGTTTGAGCAACAGCACACATGGCGGGAGCACGCCATGTGCATGCCCAAGCTAGGGGCAGCAGTAGCGTCCACACTGATCACCATATTATTCCGAGCGGAGACTTGGTCCCCAGGATTTCGTGGCTGTAGAACATCTCGCCTCAGACGGGCTGGATCGACCGCTGGATGTTCTAGGCTTCGTACGGGACAACACTAACCCTTCAAGATCTTGAAGGCGTTGAATGACGCTTTGAAATGTTTGAGAGTGCCTCAGGACTGATGCGAGGGTCGCATTAGCAGCCGAGGTACAAAATGATCTCGGCGGGGTCTCCCGGCGTCGCTTGGTGTATGGATGCACGATGAATAATAGACCAGTATATATTATAGAGGCCATTTGTATCCTTGAAGGGTTGTTGTGGAGTTGTCCCCTGGCTTGCCGCTCACACCACGCCAGTTGTACTGATTGAGCGGCAGTCATCGCGGCTGACTGGGCTGAGGGTACAGCTGCAATGCTGCTGAACTACGGTGCAAGTGTTACTGCTGTTGAATCAATGGCAACACGGCGCTCCACTTGCCGCTCATGGCACACAGTGACGGAGAATGAATTTAAGCGCGGCCACCGCGTTGAATCGTCTGCTCCACCAGAGCGCTGACCACTCAAACCCAGCCAACAATGATGGCCAGCCAGCAACCAGTTTAATTGCTGCATGCAAATCAAGTGCCGAAGCTGCCCTGGGGGTGCTCTCAGAGCCTGTTAATTGGGGTGCAGCCGACAAGGAGGGCGAACAAGCTTTCATTACATATGGTGCCGATGCAATATTTGCAAAAAGCCGTACACGCTCAAAGCTAGCCAAGCGCTTGGCCACACAAAGTTGTACTTGATCGCTCTGCCTCCGCGCCGCATCCCTTGAGGAGAAGCGCCCCCAGCAGCACAGATGGCAGGGCGTTGCTGGTGTTGGGTGCCGCAGCAGAAGTGTGGCGCCTGGCCGCAGGGACGGGTGCGAATGTGCCAAAGAGGCGCATCTGAGCGCGAGTGTTCCTGCGCCTGCAAGCCAGGCGGCCGTGAAGAGGCACGGCTGCCAGCAGCTTCGTGCACTTCGGTGGCGGTGCCAAGCCTGGGCACTGAGTGCAGTACTGTACCTGCAGGGGCTGATGCGCGTGCCGCAAAGCGCAGCAAGTGCTCGCGAGTGTCTTCCCATGAAGGGCTGCGCAGACCTGCCGCTAGAGCGCCAATCTTGGAACGAAGATAAATGTCTCGTGGGTACATTTTGGCAAAGTTATTCTGCTGTCCAGACTGCTGACATGGTATGAACAGCGGCCTTTCTCTTTCAAGCATTAGATCATCTCCCCCGGGGTTGGTTGTTTATCAGTCCATACAGGCGACTGATCTTCAGTCATCGCCTCAACCCCTAAGAAGGAAGTTGAAGGAGCGGGCTGGTGCCAGTGGGGGTTGTTGTGAATGCGTGTATGTGTGCCGCACTGCAGGTACGGCGGATCCGCAGCAGGCAGCTGTGCAATTCAAACATACTTCTACCATCATGTTTCCTGAAATATGCAGACTGGTGGCAAGTAGCGTTGCCTGACGGCTTGCATGCTGCTAGTGCTTGGCAAGCACGCACAACCAATCGGATCATGACCGCCCAGCAGGTTGACAGCAATCTTGCCACCCAAACCAAGTGAGATAACAACGTGATCGGGGAAAAGGTTTGTAGGGGAGAGCAGCCTGGTTCTTAGGATGGATAGCTGCGGCACGAGGTATCATCGTATTCAGGCAATGACGTGGTGGCGGCTAGGTTCAAATCCTCAAAGCTTGCCCTGCCGACAGGTGCGCGCGCAGGTAAGCGTTCTGCAGGTGTCACCCCTTGACAATTTTACTTGCGTTGGGTTGGTCACATCAAGGCTCCGCGTTCATAATTTGTAAGTACTGTTAGTTGATCGAATGATCTAAGCACTTGTTTATGGGCGAAAGGACCGTTCTTATGAGCAATTTTACCGCGACAGGACTAGCGTAGCAGATATGGTACCAGAGGTGGAGGTGGATCTCGGACGCGTGACGGACGCGCTGCTGTCGTGCTGCGGCGGGGTGAGTGCCACGTCTTTCGCGACGGAGCCGCGGCCGTGCGCAGCTGCACTGACGCTGAGTCGCTTTGCAATAGCATGCATGCAACACGTGCATGTTGTATGCACATACGCAGGGCCTGGAGCAGGTGCTGCTGGCGCCTGAGGACAACGAGCACTACTGGGTGACACTCGACGTGATGCAGCTGGCGCAGGCCGACCCGCTGGTTGCAGACGCGCTCCTGAGGGCCCCAAAGTCCACCCTGAAGGCGCTGGAGGAGGCAGCAAGCGCCGCGCAGGTGTTGGCTCCACCCTAATGCGGCGCCGCTGCAGCGCAAAGCCTGAGTGCGGCCCCTGCGCCTCCTCGGCTGCCGCAGCACGTGCCGCCTCGGCTCCAACAGCCGTCGGATGAGCAGCCGCAAAGTTCTGGCACCTTCTCAAACGCATACATTGCCCTCGCATGCACCCCCGCGAGCAGAAGGCGATAATGGAGTCCCACCCGGAGCCCGAGGCCTTATCGCTCAAGCAAGTGGTCAACATCAGGCTTCACGGCCTGCCCTACAGCCTGGACCCGAAGCCCCACGCCCTCAACCCTACGATCGGCCGCATCGGGTCTAGCCACATCGGGCGGCTGATCACGGTGTGCGGCACGGTGGTCAAGACGGGGCCCGTCAAGATGTTTGAGTTCCAGCGGCTGATGCGCTGCAACCGGTGCAAAGTCGAGTGAGCGGGGCGCACGGGGGCGCGCGAGCACGTCTCGGGAACAAGCGTGCTGAGCGCGCTGGCCGATGTTGCTATCATAGGCTGTGTGCAGAATGGAATGCCCAATAGCCATGTGCCTGTATTCATTGCACGCTTTGTTGCCCAAGGATTGAGTGTAACGGCCCCAACCCCAACCTCACCACAGGTTTTTCATCAAGTTTGACCCGGATGACATGTCGCGCGTCGACATGCCGTCAGAGTGCCCTGGGGGCAACTGCATGGGCACAAACTTCCTGCCTGTCGACGGCGCGGACACCCCAGGGGCACGCAGGCCGTTCACGAACATCCAGGTGGGCGGCAGGAGGGGCCTTGCGATCACCAGCTGCAAGTCGTTAGTTGCAGCCTTTGTTTCCG